CTACCTCCCAGGGCCCCCGTCCCGCCTAACCCTGGAGCGGTTGACCACGAGATCTAGCCCTTTGACTTCCCACGGACGGGCTTTGACCAGTGGAGCTCTCCATCCGGTTGTGTCAGGTCGGCCCATAGGGACACCCGGGAGCAACATCCGGGCCAAAACCACAGCTACATCCACTCCGTGTAGAACCGACGCGGCAGTTTCCCCCCTCGAGGTGCCGCCGGCGGCGCCGTCCGTGAGGGAGGCCACGCACCGGAGACGCGTGCCGCCTCTTCGGACATGCCACAACACCACCCGGTTGTGGTAGGTCATCCGATATATATATAAACACTTGGGAGCAAAGTCCCCTTCGTATAGACCCGATGCGGCTGTTCCCCATTCCAGGTGCCGGCTAGCGGTGGCACCGCTCGTGAGGCGGGTCACACCGCTGTGTACAGAACCGAAAAATAATGTATGTATGCTTATTAACACGTACTATATGTAAGTTAGTCAAATAATAATATTTAAGAAAACATAAAATATAGCTACGAAAAAAAAGAAAAAAAAACTAATGAGTGGAGGGGGTGACCGGGAACTGGATAAGGGAACTATGATAAAAAGATCGATGATGTGGTAAAAAGAGAAAAAAAACTATGGAAAAAATATAGCTATGAAAAAAAGAAAAAAAGAAAAAAAGAAAAAAAGAAAAAAAAAACTATGCCGACGGCAAAGCCGTCGGCATAGCTGCGGCATAGGGCAGATGGCCGGCGCGCCGCGGATCGGTGATGTGGCATCTATGCCGACGGCAGCCGTCGGCATAAGTGGTGGTCGGTGCGCCTCGGATCGTTGACGTGGTTAGGGCATCTATGCCGACGGCCTCCCGCCTCGGCCGTCGGCATAGATCGGACGCCGTTAGACGCACGTCACGGCGGGATCGCCTGGCCCGCAACTATGCCGACGGCCGATATATGCCGACGGCGGCTGTAGGCGTAAGTTTGGGTAAGCCGACGGCCGTTCTGGGCCGACGGGGGCCGTCGGCATAGGTCTGAATAGCCCGACGGCTTTATTACGCCGACGGCCTGGATATGGCTGTCGGCATAGCGCAGACAAGGCCGACGGGGGCCGTCGGCATAGATATGGCCGTCGGCACAGGGCCCTGTTCCGGTAGTGACGGCGGCCGGACTGCCTCGTCGCCGACACGTGCAACCCGTGGACGGCCGACGTCGCGCGCCGGCTTGACATCCCACGGTTTGTGTTCCAAGGCCCGTCGGCGTTCTTCCTCCTGGCGCAGCATAGCCTGGCCAAGCACGGCGTGCACGACACCGACTGCGTTGCCGGTGACTTGGAGCAGTTCGAGGTGCCCGATTTTCCGGTGCGCGCCGTCACGAGCAAGGCCACGTCGCTTGGATTCTTCCAGTTTCCTGGGATGGAGAAGGAAAGGCGTGACACGCTGGAAGCCGAGGCCACCGCCGACGGATTCGTCTTCAACACCTGCGCGGCTTTCGAGAGCACGTACATCAAGGGATACGGTGCGGCGCTCCACCGGAAGGTGTGGGCGGTCGGGCCGCTCTGCCTTCTGGACTCCGACGCGGAGACGACGACCGGAAGAGGCAACCCCGCGGCCGTCGATGCCGTCTCGGTCGCCACTTGGCTCGACGCGCGGCCGCAACAGTCCGTGCTCTACGTCAGCTTCGGCAGCATGGCCCGCCTCTTGCCGTCGCAAGCCGCGGAGCTCGCCGCCGGCCTGGAGTCGTCGAATCGCCCGTTCATCTGGGTCACTAGGGAGACCTCGACGCGGGGTTCGAGGAGCGCGTGGAGGGCCGCGGCTTTTTCATCCGTGGGTGGGCACCGCAGATGAGCATCCTGTCGCACCCGGCGGTGGGCGGCTTTCTGACGCACTGCGGGTGGAACTCCACGTTGGAGTCCCTCTCCCACGGCGTGCCGCTCCTGACATGGCCGCACATCGCCGACCAGTTCTTGAACGAGACGCTGGTCGTGGACGTGCTCGGCGCCGGCGTCCGGGTCGGTGTTAAGGTGCCGGCCATGCACGTGTTCATGAACCCCGAGCTATATGCGAAACAGGTCGTGAGAGACGACATCAAGAAAGCGTTGAGGGAGCTGATGGATGAGGGGGCGGAAATACGAACGACGGCGAAGAAGCTCGCGACGATGGCAAGGGAGGCGATGGCGGAAGGCGGGTCGTCGGGCCGGGATGTGGCCAATATGGTTCACCATGTGGGGGAGCTCGCGCACAGGAAGGACAAGGGCGTGTCCGAGCTTGGAAACAACGAGAAGACAGATGGTCTAAGTCAAAATTTTCGCTCTAGGATAATTAAGACATGTACTTAGTTCCTTCGTCCGGAATTATTTGTCGAAGAAAATGAAGTATCTAGACGTATTTTTGTTCTAGATAGTACATTCATTTTATTTATTTCTATTCTATGACAAGTAATTTCATACGAAAGAGTACTAGACATGAATAACAGGCCATGCCGATATGGTTTATTTTTTCAACGTCACTACAGACACAAGCGCTCATATACACACGCATACACTCAACCCTATAAACGCACACACCCACATCTTATCACTATGCGCTTCTCTGAAAGACCGAGTTGGCATATCATCTTAAAATTTACGACGTCACCGTAGACACCTTGTCATCTTGAAATTTACGCATCACCGAAAATCCTAAACTAAATCCAGAAATAAATGCGAGCATCATGATTTGAACCCTGGTGGGCTGGGGATACCACAATTCCTCTAACCATCCAACCACAGGTTGGTTCGCGCTATGCCAATATGGTGAGAGAGGTGTGGAGTACACCTATTATTCTCTTTCTGTTCGTTTGTTTCCGTATTTTTTATTTACATCTGTTTTAAGTGAAAGTGCACTTTTTTCATCCTATTTAATTATTTAACGAAAATTTCATTTCTGTTTTCAAGTGAAAGTGCACTTTTTCCATCCTATTTAATTATTTAACGAAAATATGACACCTACTAAACAATTATGAAACCACCCTAAACCCAATCAGAAGACCCCACCTAAGCATCTACGTTAATCACGTACAATGAATTATGTATGTGTGGCATTGCTCTTTATTTAACCATGTATATGTTCTTAAAACCTGTCTCTTTCAATATATTCGATGTCTTTTTTTGTCAAAAATGGCTTGACATGCAACAAGCACCTATATCTCACTCCAATTCCCAACCCCCACTACCCAACTTCCAACCGTTATGATCATATTAATTAGGCTGGACCAGCTATCAACCGTTCTACGTACACAGTGAAAGGACACCAAATACTCAAAGCACCATAGTATATCATACTACTTCCGTTCCCAAATATAAGTCTTTCTAGAGATTCTAACAAATGACTATATACAGAGCAAAATCAGTAAATCTACACTCTAAAATATGTTTATATACATCCGTATGTTGTAGTCCATTTGAAATATTTAAAAAGACTTATATTAAGGAACGAAGGGAGTAGTTTGAGCATGGATCATGCAAGCCATAGAGAAAACACGGGCAAAATGGTGACATTCGCCACATTGGACGTATACACGGAGTTCTGCCACATGGCACCCGACATTGCACGCCTTTGCCGAGTGGCACCCAACAAACTTTTTTCTTTTCTTTTCCCTCTCCTTTTCTTCTTCTTCATTTATCTTGTACATTATTTGTTTTTTTTTAATTTTATGCTTTGTTCTACTCTACAGTATTTGTTCGCTCCTTCTCTTTTCTTTTCTTTATCCTATCTATTTTCTTTTATAGGCCTTAAGTGTATTTTCTTTATATGATTCAAATTTGAACTGCAAGAGCGGGGAAAATGGATAAAAATAGGTTAAAAAATCTTGATTGTGCTCTTGACCTATGTTTAGGTCTTCTCCAAAATAAGAATAGGAATCCCAAACCTTAGGGTGCCAAGACTTGAGAGGAACTAGTTAGATTATAGAAGGAAAAAGTGTCGGTTGCTTCATCAGCTAACCCTAACTTTTTTTATTGACTGGATACACCATAACATGTTCCATGTCAAATTTCACTTTTTGGGTCCGTTTGCTATATTTTCGCCATATAAATGTTGCAAATTTCCTGGCCATGGATTTTTGGTTCCCGGTTGACGTACTTGAAAGATGCCGTCCATATGGCATGGTGAGGAAAAACCGACTAGATGAAAAATCGGTGGAGGGACGTGATGGGAGGGGGAACCGGTTGACGAAGACACTAGTAGAAAAGGGGGCAAAGGTCTAGGCCGGGTCAGCCCATTAGTCCCGGTTCAGTCCAGAATCGGAACCAATGGGAGCATTGGACCCGGTTCGTGAGCCCAGGGGGGCGGCCGGGCCACGTGGGCCATTGGTCCCGGTTCGTCTGGACCTTTTGGTCCCAGTTGGTGGGACGAACCGGGACCAATGGGCCTCGCTCCTGGCCCACCACCATTGGTCCCGGTTGGTGGCTTGAACCGGGACCAAAGGCTCCCCTTTAGTCCCGGTTCATTCCACCAACCGGGACCAATGAGGTGCCTATATATACCCCCTCGCGTAAGAGCAGAGCACACTGCTCTGTTTTTTCTGGCCGAGGGGGAGAGGGCTTGGTGGTGCTCTAGCTCACCTCCTATGCACACAAGGTGTTCGATGGAATGCTCGAGCCACACTACTTAAGCTTTCTCCTCTCCAAACTCGACCTCCAAGCTCCATTTTCCTTAATATTTGTCTAGGTTTACCGGTCTGTCACGCCCCGTCCCCGTCTTCACCGCCGTCGATCACCCGCGCCAAGCTCATCGCCGGCACCACCGTGGTGAGACTCTTGTTCTTATCTTTCTTTCTGAAAGGAAAAAATATTCTTACTTGTATGTTTACATAGATACTTGTATTATTTTCTTACTTTTATTATTTCATCTTATATAGTGCGATGGTTTTGGTATCCACCCCCGTCGGCCCTCGTCCTGTCTATGATTTGGATGTGGTATATATATTATCTTTATAACTATTGGTTCATTTATTGTTTATGAAAATTATGCCGACCAACGTAACATAGATTTTATTTATCTAGGATGTATGTGAACCGGAAATTCCAACCGACCCTATTGTCGAGAGGTTAAATTTAGTTGAAGAAGAAAACAATTTCTTGAAGGAAAAAATAAAAAAAATTGAGGAGGAGAAGATGATATTGGAGTTGCATGTTGCGGATGTCGTCGATGATCACAAGATCAAGATGGATGCAATGCGCTTGAAGATTAGAAAGATTAGAAAATATGCCATTCATACCGAGGCTTGGTATCATTATGCCGTTGGATCAATTGTTACCTTGGTTGCGATTATGATCGCATTTGTTTTCGCATTGAAATGTTTTACATAGTTTCAATGTATGGTTTAATTAATTAGATGCTCTGGAGAGCTATATGTTGTAAATATTGATATGATGAAATTTTTGTTCATATATACTGTAGATGTATGTATGATGAATTTTGATATTTTTTTGTTCATATATAATGTAGATGTCTATGTATGTATGGAATGATATCGATGGATGTATGTATATAGAACATTCGTAGAAAATATGACGAATCCGATATGACCAATGTCCCCCTCCAGTTCACTCGGGAACACTAACTCTCTCGGAGAAAAAAATATTATCAGGGAGAAAAAAAGTTCTAGGGTCGTCAAGGGGTCGAGAGGGGGTCGAGGG